CTTGTGCATATTCAGGAAGATACCAATATGTGTTAAATGGAAGCCTATTATCATTATTATCTCCCCATTCTAATGATAATAACCATGGTAAAGTTTCTGTTTGTCCTTTACAGAATTTTTTAACATCACCAATTGAAAAATCTCTAAATAGTAAATCTCGTAAAAAGTAGATCTTAAGAGAATAAATTAGAGGATTTTCTCTTGCCATGACGTTATTTATTTGATTAAGAACTGTTTGAGGATTAGAATTTCCAATTTTCATTATTTTATCTATTGCAATTGGTCGTGTGAAATCATCTCTATTTATTGTCGTGTCCCAAAGTTTACCAACAAACTCTTTTAAAAAGGCTATTGATGAAACGAGTTGTAAAGGTTCTATTCCCGTTTTAAGTAATGAATTAGAAGCTGAAGGAAAAAATTCAATCATTTCTGCCATTTCTAATTTTGAAAAGTAATTCTGTTGAATAATATCGCAGCACAGGGTCGCCATTGGTGAATTTAAATCTTTGAGTTTTAAAGCAGTATTAATTACATTCAAGCGAGGTGAACTTTGCAAAATCATCTGAACATTTTCAAAAATTTTAAAGAAAACACTATCATCATCTTCTTTTGCGAAAATACGACTTATAATCGGTCCTAACAAAGGGAAAGGTTCTCGTGAAAAAATGTTTTGATAAAGGTGCAAAATTACTTGTGACTCTATTGAAATAATATCAAGACATCTTGTAATAAATGATCGCATGAGAATTAAATTTTTTTCATTTACTTCAAGTTTATCCAAAACTTCAAGGACATAATTTACGAATTCTTTGGAAAGTATTTCATGTCCATCAGAAGTTAGACCAAGTCTTACTATTTCCTTAATATCTTTCAAAGAAATTGATTTTGAAGCAACAAGTTCATTACAAATTCGTAATAATTGTACTAATTGAAAAGATGGGAATTTTCGCTTTTCAGTATAGGTTATGATTTTTGTGGCTTGTTTATGCCATTGATCTATTTGATGAACATTGATACTTTCTGCATTGCTTCCACTTAACTTATTAAGCATCATTATTGTTACTTCCTGAATAAGAAAATCTTCAAAGGTGTAATTAGCTCCCCTTTCTGAAAAGTCATTAACAATTGTTGGACATATCTGAGCTAATTGAAAAACTGCTAATATTGTACTTGAATTTGTCCACCAATAAATGTGTAAGTACACAGGGTCATTAATTTTGTCTTCATCTAAAAGATGTCGTAAAATTAGGGATAATAATTTGACGTCCTTTTTATCTCCATCAATATTAGTAACAAAATCATTAAAGTACAATTCTGAAAATTTTTCAAGCGGTGCATCTTGGAGATGTAATATTGAAAGAACATAAGATTTGAAAACACGATAAGTTGTATCCTCAACAAATGGTTGAAGTTCTCCAAATTCATCACAATTTTCTTTCTCCTCCTTAAGTTTAGTTATTTCTTCTAAATACATTTCCTTAAAATCATCAATTCTTTTTCATAAAATAATATGAAAATGGGAAACGTAAGGCATAAATTTATGGTAACATATAAATCTTAGAATTAGGGGCAACAAGATCATACCTAATAAAATCATTATAATTATATTTTAAAATTTGATTTCCTTCTGTAGCAGGTAGGGAAGTGTGTAGAGAAGCTAAAAATGAGCCAAAAAAATTTAATGCCATTTTTTCTTGTTGCAAATATTGAGAGAAGAAAAGAAGGTTTAATGAATTTATCTCCAAAAATTCGCTCGATTTTTACTGATTGCGATGTATTAAAATTCGCTCAATTTTACTGAATTCGATGTATTTGTAGGACAAAAATTAATTTATAAAAATATTATTCCCAAGGTGATAATTTTGGTTTGGGTTTTGGGAATGGCTAAAGCCATATCTATCATGGGATTACCCTGATTACCCGAAATTAATTAAAGTAGAATGAGAGCCGGTTAGTATATATGTAAGTTAGGGTTTAAGTAAATATTATAAGTAAAATTGCCTCGTTATTAATGCGTTCGTATTTTGCTGATCCATATAAACAAAAATTCACGATTTTGATTGGTCATAGTCAACGGAAAATTCCCAAATCCAGAAAAGGAAATATTCACAATAGGATTAGCAAAATTTTATTGTCAATATTTCCTTTTCTGAATTTGGACAGCATGTGACTCTAATTTTAGTAAATAATTTTTTACTTCAAAAATAAACTATTGCATCTGCAGTGAAAGTTCCCAAGAATTGTTTTTTATAAAAACATTTTTGGAACACATATAAACTATTTTTTTATTCAAAATGATTTTATATTAATTTCAAATTTCCAGAAACTTTCAAGTTGATGATTAATTAATAAAAAAAATTATCTTTATGAGATACCAGAATTATATAATGTATGTATGTGACGCACTGTTAAGGTATCGTTTTTTTTGATAGATCTTATTTTCAATTAATTATTTTATGATCACATGATTTTTGTTATTCTATAAATCACGTGATAATACATATATTAGTTGCATCACGTTTGCTATTGTACGTGACGCAGCTAATATTTATCTGGAACGTGATATATTGAAAACGTCATTTTGATGTATTGGTGTCACCAAGATCAGATATAAGTTTCGAAAACTGAAACGAAATAATTAAATATTTTATTTTTAACCATGAGACGCAAATTTTTCGTAGGCGGTCAGTAGTATAAGAAGTATTGAATATTTGAATCATTGCTCGATATATATATATATATATATATATCTATCTATCTATCTATATATCTTATATGAATGAATGAATATTTTTAGGTAATTTCAAAATGAATGGTGACCAAACTAGTCTTAAGAAAATAGTTGAAAATTTGAATACAGTTGATTTTGCTGAAGACGTTGGTAAGAACCTCATATTTTTTGTGCAATACATTCACATAACATATGTAACGTGTGTAACATATATATAATGTATTCATATAAAAAATATAAAAAATATTGATATTTAAAACATTTAATATATTTTGTATATGTGTGTAGAGGTAGTGATTGCACCACCAACAATATATCTCGATTTTGTTCGTAAATCGGTTCGTAAAGAAATTGAAGTTGCCGCTCAGAATGCATATAAAGTTTCTAAAGGAGCTTTTACTGGTGAAATTAGGTAATAAAAAGAGACGCCAGATTTGAAATTGATTAATAATCTTTATAATAATATTTAATTATTATTATTATTATTATTATTATAGTCCGGAAATGTTAAAAGATCTTGATATTAGATGGGTAATTTTAGGTCATTCTGAACGTAGAACAATTTTTCATGAGTCCGATGAGGTGTGATTTATTATTATTATTCACATTTGTGATGTTATTGTGTGATTTTTTATATTAATTATATATAATATATCTTAATCATATATGTATTTATATTTAAGTTCATCGCATCCAAAATTTCACATGCATTAGAAGTTGGAATAAAAGTAATTGCATGTATTGGAGAAAAGCTTGAAGAACGTGAAGCGGGAATTACCAATGATATAGTAACCAAACAACTTGTTGCTATCTCTCAGAAAATTAAAGATTGGACAAATGTTGTTATTGCTTATGAACCTGTTTGGGCTATAGGTACCGGAAAAGTGGCAACACCTGAGCAAGTAAGAATAAATAAATTAATAAATAATTATATATATATATATCATAATTATATAATTATAAATATCGTAATAAATTTATAATATTTTTTATCATAATTATTATTACTGTAGGCTCAAGAGGTTCACAATTATATTCGTAATTGGTTAATTAAAAATGTATCAGAAGAAACATCTCGAAATACGCGTATAATTTATGGAGGTAAAATAATAATAGAAAATAATAAAATTAATTACACATTTCTGTATTAAGAAATTCCTTTTATGGAAAATATAATTTAAACATTGTGATGACATAATATGTATCGTGTAACATTTAGTAACAATTTACAATTTTTATCATAGGTTCTGTTACTGGTGAAAATTCATCAGGACTTGGTATGTTATAAACATTTAATTCATTATTCGTTATGTTCATTACTTAATTCATTACTTAATCCATTGCTTAATTCGTTATTCATATTTATTTAATATAGCCCAAAAACTAGATATTGATGGATTTTTAGTTGGAGGTGCATCTTTGAAACCGGAATTTGTTACCATAATTAATTCTCATACCTAAAATATTAGAATCATTTATTATTATTGTTGTTATTGTTATCATTATTTATTATTTATTATTTATTATTATTAATTTAAAATATATATATATATATTTAATTCGATTTGTAATTTATATAAAAATAATAATAATAAATGTTGAACATGATATAGCTTCAATTAAAAGAAAAACTTTGTCTCGTACAATTTGTAAATTTAACAAGAAAAGGACATTTATGAGACATTGGAAATGTTTGGTGTTAAATTTATTAAACAAAATATTATTGGAAATTGCATTGAAGAAGAAAATCTGAAACTTCAAATAAAGGCATTACAATAAGAATGTGAACGAATTGACTTTTTATTATCAGAATACTTAGATAATAATAATTATATCAGGAAAGAAAGAAAATTGATAAACGGAAGGAATCATTGTGGAATCTAATAACAGATTTGTTGTCTTTATTTGAAACAGATTTAGGAATAAATCATCCTCTCTTTCAAATAACCAAACCAAAACAATTGAATTCTGCAGGATTAGAATGATTGGAACAATGCTATCAAAAAGGATTTGAACGAATGAAAGAATTTTTTTTTACAAGTATTGGAAGTTGAAAAAAAAATACTAAAAGGCAGAGGAGCTTTGGATAGTTCGAACTACAATTAAAGAATATCTGATGAAAAAAAAAGGGTAAGATATAATGGATCTAATTTTTAGCAAAATATCACAAGACCCTCTGAAGCTAATATTACGCCATATTTGGAAATTGTTATCTGAAGAATGGGATATAAAAAGTATTAATAGATTTTTATATATAAATGATAAATATAACTGGGCTATTGAACTATTACGAGATAGAGAAAAAGCGAAAGAACATCAAAAAAAAAAAAAATGTGAAAAAGGTGGTTTATATACTCCTATTCTTAAAATTATAAAAGGATGGGCAATTATTGATATTATTTATATTAAATGAAAGTTCCAAAGCTAGAAAAATGTGAAAAAAAAATATTATGTTGATTTGTATTTTAATGGAAGTAAAGACTATGTTCAATTGCTAGGTGAAAAAGAAAAATTGCTTGGATATAATATTTCAGAATTATTATGTGATCCAATGCCAATGGAAATTGATTAAAACTTCTAAAAGAATTCAAAAGAATTGAACAAGATCATTATAGAAATTTTTATATTTTATGAAAATCGCATTGATTAAAAATACATAATATCTTTGTCTAATCTAAATTTTTAGAAATAAAATCCAATTGTTTAATCTCAAATTTATAATATTTTTTAGTTTGAAATTATAATTTTAAATTAATTCAACTTTTGAATTACATCCATCATATATTTTATGCCAAAAATTAATAATGCTGATTAAATTTTACTTACTGTTGGATATTTTTTTAATTGAAATTGAGAATTATAGTTTTATACTAAATTATTAATTTTTTTTTTGTATTATTATTATTATTATTATTATATTATTATTAGGAATTAAAGCTAAATTTTTAACTTGATATAAGAATATTTTTATAATTTTTGATAAAAATTATAATCACAAAGTAGCATTTAAATTATATATCGAAGATCTATCAGGTGATGTCCTCTTAGCCAATCATAATTTTTAATTATTTTTTCGAAAAATATATTCCCATTATTTAAAAGTTTAAGCACAACTAGACTTATTATTAAGTCTAGTCCAATGTTAAAAGTCTACTAGTTTATATTTTATTATTATTTTTTTTATTGTATATACAAGTACATTTTCACGCACGTAGTTATTCTATCTTAATAATAATAATAATAATAATAATAATAATAATAATAATAATAATAACAATAAATAATAATAATGATAATTATTATTATTATTATTATTATGTGAAAATGTAAATTATGATTGAATGAATTAATAATGCAAATGGAAAAAAATATATATATATCTATTGAAAAATGTAAATATCAAATATCATCATCATCAATTAATGCTTAACTAATAATAATATTATTATTATCATTATTTCTATTATATATATCTATTACTATTCTATTTATTATTCTATTTATTATTCTATTTACTATTAATCGTAATATTGTAATATTTACCAACTACCCTTTCGATGGTACTAATTAATTAATTGATGATGATGATGATTGATGATGATTGATGATTAAATAAAAAAAATAAAATGTTAAAAGTATAAAATATTACAAAAAAAAAAAAATAATTAAAAATTAATATATGTAAAAATTAAAAAATGGAAATAGATAGATAGATAGATATATGTAATATATGTATTGTATAATATAAAGTATTATATATACATATTAATAAAACTTTCCTCTAGAGAAAAATTTTTTTTTTGTTTTTATGCTATAATTAAAAATATAAAAAAAATTTCTTTACATGTATAAATAACGAAAAAAAAAAAGGAAAAAAAATTACAAGTTATTCAGAGAAAAAAAAAAAAAACTCTAAATAAAAAATATTTATATAACAGTAAAAAAAATATATATACTTTTTTTTTTTTTTTTTTTTTTTTTTTTGGAATGAAAATCCAAATAAGTCTAAATAATAAAATAATAACAGTTTTTTTTGTTCTTTTTTTTTGTCATTATTAAAAACCATTAAAACCATTAAAAACCATTAAAAAATTCAATAAAAATAATAAATATAGTTAGAAAGAAAGATTATCACCATTAAAAATCAATATCATTAATTTTATCTACTGTTTCTTAGGTGGTGGTGGTTGTTGTGAATTGAAATTCTTTTTTTTGTGATATCGATATTTACGATTCTGTTGATTCTGATTCTGATTGGACTGTTGGATTCGATTGTTGTTATTATTATTATTTCGATGTTGACCGTTATTCACGTTATTATTACTATTGTTGTTGTTACTACTAATATTAACATTACTCGTATTTCCATCAATATCGTTAATATTAGGAAGTTCGATACTATTGGATTTAGTATGATGATGATGATTATTATTATTATTATTACCATTGTTGTTGTTGTTATTACTTGACATCGTGGTTTTAGAGACTTCAATAGAAATCTTATTTGGATCAACCACGATCTTGGATAAGTCCGCATTTTTAGTTTTAAAATTATTATTATTATTTGAATCAAAGTCAATCTTAGAAAGATCCACTTTACTTGATGCCTTATTATTCACATCATTATTACTAATAATTTTGGAAATATCCGCTTTACTTGGGTCGACTATGATTTTAGATAAATCGATATTCTTTACGACCTTATTATTCATCATCTTATTATTATTATTATTATTATTACCACCACCACCACCACAATTATTGGTGGGTCGATTATCGTTCATATAATTATTTGCAATATTATTAACAATATTATTTATATCTACCGTACTGACAACCTCACTAACCACATTATTAACAATATTGGTCACAAGATTATCCACGCGAGTTGCAATAATTGCATTAACCTTTTGACAGATTGAGTCAACATCCTTTTTATCTATACAACAACGATTGCTGATTCTCAAAATTTCCTCAGAAATATCATTACTATTGACTACATTATTATTATTATTATTATTGGCTCCGCAAAACTTGTTATTTTTCAAATGATTATTATTGTTTATCGTTGTAGTATTCGTTATTAAAGATCCTTTAATTGGAACGTGACACACACGACCATGATTATTATCGGTGTTATTCGGAATGGTCACTCCATTATTACTATTATGATTATTATGATTATTATGGTTATTATGATGATGATTATTATTGGTATTATTGTTATGATTATTATTATTATGGTTATCGTTCATTGTTTTAGACATATTGTTAAGGAAACAATTTGTTATATGTCCTCCATTCATTGATCTATTATACGTATTTTCTGAATTATTTATTGTGATCACCTTTGATCGATTGTTGTCTCGATTACTATGATTATTATGATTATCCGAATTATTATTATTATTATCATTATAACAATGTCCATTAATTTCACGATTTATTTTTGGTTGAGATCTATTATTAGAATTGTTGTTGTTGTTATTCTTAATATTAGATACTGGATATTCTATGCTTTGTTGACGTTGTTGATTTGTCATCTTTATATTCATATTCATATAGTTTATAAATGATTTAATGTCTGTTGAAATCGTCGATCCACGACGGTAATGTAAATTATTTTGTTGGCGTGTAAGTTGTTGTTGTTGATGTTGTTGTTGTTGTTGTTGTTGTGACTGTTGACTGATATAATTCGTTCGGTTCTTATTATTATTATCATCCGAATTATTATTATTATTATTATTATTATTATTATTATGGTGATTATTGTTGTAATAAAGTGCCAATTGTTGATTATCATGCGACTGCGACATTGTGATCTGCTTTTGATTATTCTGGGGTATCTGTGATTGTGGCTTTTGGGATTGCGGCTTTTGAGACATCTGTGATTGTGATCTTTGATTATTCTGATTATGATTATAATTTTGTCTGTATTTGATATTATTGATATTATCTGAATCATTATTGTCATTATGATGTGATATTTGGGACGTTTGTGATAATTGCTTCTGATTGTTATAATTCTGATGATGATGATTATTATTATATCTCTGGTTATTATAATTCTGATTGTTGTTATAACTCTGATTATTATTATTATTATTATTATTATTATTATTATTATTATTATTATTATTATTATTATTATTATTATAATTCTGATTATTAAAACTTTGATTATTATAATTCTGACGGTTCTTGTTGGTCTCTGAATCGTGATGATGTGATATCTGTGATTGCAGTTTCCGATAATTATAATTCTGGTAATTATTATAATTCTGATAATAATTCTGATAATTATAACTCTGTCGATTCTTAACATTCTCTAGATCATTATCGTGTGAAATTTGTGATTGTTGCTGCTTCTGATTATTATTATAGTTTGACATATTCTTGACGTTCTCTGATCCATTTTGATGTGATATCTGCAGTTGCTGTTGCTGCTGTGACTGGTGATTACAGAGTGTGAATTTCGTGACTGAGTCATTGGTTTGAGTCTCTTGTGATCGATACTTCAGTCTTTGCAATTGCTGACGGTAAGGGAAATGGGTAGGGGTTAGCCTTTGTTGTTGAACCGGGAAGACATACTGTTGGCAAACAATCTCTAAACTTGACTTTTCGTAAAGAATATTATATGCACGTTGAAATTCACCGATGATCCCTTGTACACTCGTGTCATCAGCACTATTACCTAAGTTCCTAGATATATTGAATGGTTCTTCAACACTGAGAAGTCTCCAACCTCTTCCTGTTTCACCCCAACCTTTTTCCTCTTTCGTGAGGAATTTTCCTTGGCGAAGCGAGATAACTTGTCGTTCATAATTGAAGTCATATGCGAAACTATAAAATTATTATTATTATATATATATAATAAAATAAAATAAATATATATATATATCTCTTTAAAAAACAAATGATAAAAATGATAAATCATTAAATAATTAATAATAATAATAATAATTTACCATTTAAAAAATGCAAATAAGAGTCCACCTACTGACTCCGTGTTTGTCTCACCAAACTTTCGAAGCAATGAAATATCATCATAAAATGTTACATCTATCCCATTAACTATTACCGGTTCTCGGTTGGAAGGGATTTGATGAAGAACAGGTAATATCGGGGGATCCCGCATTTGTAAAAAGTTAAGAACCATACAAGTCCATGTATAAGTTGAAATGGTACCTCCTTTCGCTTTATAAAAATAAAATGAATTCAAATAAAATAAATAACATAATATTTACATAATATTGATGAAGTATATTATTATTAAATATATTTTACCTGCGTCGTTTAAAATCCTTCGTTGAGCCCAATATTTTATTATCATTACTAATTTTCTTACTCGTAAGTCAATGCTTACATACGTCTTTATTAACCGCGTGTTATGTATCGCCAACGTATTATTTACATTTATGTCACAGTGTAAATTTCTATTATTATTTTTATTATTTATAATAATAATAATAATAATAAAATCAAGTAAATAATATATATATTAACACACATCTATATCTATTTTATATAATCCGAATTAAGAATACTATAAAAAGATATTTACAATTCAGGATCCCATAGTCGAACTATTGGGACTTTTGCCTTTGGAACACAGAATATCTTTTGCATTCCGTCTAAAATTTTTTTTTTTTTAAAAAGATTTAATATTTCGATTATTTTTTTAATAAATGATTTTTTTTTTTTTTCATCAGATATTTAAAAATAATAATATGTCTATATTTTACGTTTCCTAAGTCCTTTCGCAAGGACGTAAACATTTTTCAACCCCGTCCATGGAGTTGTAACGCATATATCTACATCGGAAGTTGTGGTTCCGAGAAGGTTAACCGAAGAACTTTTTTAAAAAAAAAAATAAAATAAAATAAAAATAATAATAATAATAATAATTTTAGATTATATTTTTATTCCTAATTTAATATTTAATTTAAATTTAATTTTATTTTTATATTTAATTCTAATCTATATTTACCCAAATAAATGAACCTTTATTTCATGCCCAGGCCATTCTTCGTTCAGTATCTTGTCGATTTTTTCGACGAATTGTTTCCTTATTGTTTCGCTTTCTTTGGTAGGAAGTAACGACTAGATAAAAAAAAAAAAAAAAGAAAAAAAGAAAATGGTTAAATATCATATCATAATTAATTGATATTATCAATATTTTATTACGTAATAATGAAAATTAGATATGTACCTCAAATAATTCATCTATTTGAGCGGTAAGACTTTCTTCCGCTTGACGAGACAACGTACTGGGTATATTTTTAGGTTCACCTTGTGAACTCGTTGCCGCCATTTGAAAGCGGTGACCTTGTTGGTCAATATTATTATTATGAACATTATTATGAGTTTGGCTTTGAGCCTGAACCATTTTTTTTTTTCACTTTTAAAACAAATTTAAAAAAAAGAAGAGGGTACAACACAAACAAAAGTACTATTTCTCTCTCAAAAAAAAATAATAAAAAAAAATAAAATAAAATAAAAATAAAATAATATAATAATAATAATAAAATCAAAAGAATTAATTAAAGTTTTATATTAATTTTTATGTAGAACGTAGTATGTAGTATGTGATAGTAGTATAACGTATTATTAATTTGACGAGAATGATATAATTAAGTATAACGTAAATTAAGTTTACGAGATTGATATATAATTAAATATAATTATTAAGTAACGTTATACTTTAAATAAAATGGATACCGAAAAAGAAAGAAAAAAAAAAAGAAATTGGTATACGAAAAAATGAAATGAAATTTATAAATATATATATATATTATGATAGTTATGATAGATGTGATATATGGAATTTAAAAAAAAAAATCGATGATAAACGAATTTAATGGTAAATAGGTAATAGGATATTTCACACGTTTAATATATGGAAAAAAAAAAAATAATAATAATAATAATAAATTTAGAGGTGAAATTTTTCTGTAGGTAGGTACGAGGTGAAGAAGAAATTTGAGGAAAATTTTTAACACTTCACTCGTATATTTATATATATTTATATATACGTTTTACAAAATCAAAAAAAAAAAAAATAATAATAAAAATAATAATAATAAAAATAATCAAATAATGGTGGAAAAGTCAAAAGTGGTAGGAAATTTTTCTATTTTTTGATATTGATAGTGAGTTTGATGAAGCATGTTGTTGAATGTGATGGAGCTGCATCCCTCGTAAACAAATTCCTAAAATGCTCAGAGGGACTCAGTTTGGTGTAACCAATAAATTTGAAGTTAGAGTTAATTACGTAAATCAATATCAATTATGGAGTTTATTTTTATTATTTACCGTTAAAAACTGTATGTTGTATTTAGTAATATAGTGTAGTGATTTAAAGTGTGCTATACTTTTTATACTTTGTCATTTTATATAATCACATATATATATTTTTTTTTGTTGTTGTTTTGTATACTTTTGTGTTTATTGCATTCGTTTTTTAAAAAAAAAAAAAAAATTCGAGAAACTCAGTATGTTAGACAAAATGATTAAATTTGGATTAAATTAAATAAAATAAAATAAAATAACTTAGGTTTCAATAAAATCATATTTATTACTGATAATGAATATATGTGAAGATCGTGACAATCAATGACGATATGTAGTATATTAAATTTTAAATAAATACTATTTCAGATAAGTATTTATATTAACGGTTCAATTTTACTATAAATATTTATTACAAATATTTATATAATTATATTATATAATATAATATCAAACCATTATTATATTATATTATAATTAATATATATAAAAATATAAACGATAAGCTTTATACACAGTAGTATTTGGTATATAAATAAGTGATATTTAAGAATTTCAATGTATGAATCTAAAAATAACCTTTACGTTTTTTTCCTAGAACAAAGGTTAACGAAAATGAACAAAGATTTATTGTGCATGAAAGGCATGAAAGTCAAGAGTGAGTTTAGAGTCATTGCATTATTTACTGTTCTAATATTTCTTTGAATTTCTTCAACTTTAAACAATAGTGTAAAGTTATCCAAACGGAAGATCTTTGCATTCGATTTTTTTTTTTTTTTTTTTTTTTTGTGAACATTACACAAAGATGGTCTGGAATACAAAATAAAGTTATTTTAGCCAGTACTTTTTTAATATTAAAAATTTTTTTTTAAATTAAAATGTGGAGAACAGTAAAAGACAATATAAAAAAAAAAATAAAAAATAAAAAATTGTATATATCCAATAAAATATCATGATCATCTTAATGTCAAAAATGTACGCGGTATGCAAGATTGCGTTATTGTTTTATCATAAAAATAATTTAAGATATATTTTTGACATATTGACAATAAAAACAAGTTATCACCTGATTTATGGTTATCATCTGACTACAAAAATCATATCTATGTATATCTTTGATATTATCTAAAAAAATTTTTAATCAAGAATTTATTTCGAATAATAGTAAGATAAGATGAATTACAAATTACGATTATTTTTTTATTTTATTTAAATTTTTTTTAGGGCAACTACGAGACAATCAGCACGTTTTATTATTATATCAATAAATGGAATAAATGACAATAATGATCTTGTTATTTAGGTTATTCTTGTTGGTTCATCATCATTCCTTGTTCATTATTAACTAATTAACTAAATTAAATAAAATAATAATCAAAGAGTATTTCGTGAATTTCAATTAATTTAATTAATTTGAATTCAGTTATATATTATAAAATAAAAAATTTTATTTATTTTATATAATTTAAACATTTCTTTCTTCGATTTAACAACGACAAAATGTAATATTTGAGGGAAATCTCATGATTTTGACCTGCTGATTGATTGTATTCAAATTTGGTTATTGTTTATTATTATATCCAATTGGTTAATTTATTTTTCCATCAAAGAATTCGAAAACTGTCGGGTATTATTATTTTTATTATGCCATCAAAGAATTCGAAAACTATCGGGTATTATTGGATCAAAAAAAATGTTGATCAAAAATTTTTTTTTTTTTTAAAGATAATTTATTTTTTTTTTTAAAAGAATTCATTCTTTTTAATTTTCAATATGGAAGCAAAGGAAAAAACAACGGAAACAACAAAGGAAATAGGGAAAATGTCAAGTAAAAAGAGGAAGCGGTTTGAAAAATACTTGGTAAACTAGTGAATTATATAACAATTCTGATAATAATTACATTAATTATTATCAATTCTTATTAATTCTTAATTCTTTTTTTTTTTTTTTAGCAAAAAAAAATTAAAAAAGAACAACGTACAATTTTATTAGAAAAATTATCAAAATCTTCATTCTCTTCAGAATTAATGAAGTCAAGTAAAAATTTGGGACGAAGGGTAAATTAGTTAGTTAATTAATTAATGATAATAAATATTATTATTATTTTGATTGATTGTAATAATATTAATAATAATATTAATAATATTAATCATTTGACTCAATGAAATTTAGAAAGAAACAATGAAAGAAAAAATTAGAAAAGCATTTCACGAGAAACGAGCTGGTTTATCACAATCTGATCCTAGCGTTAATTTATTTGTTAATATAGAAGATGATTTAGATAATGAAGAAGAAGAAGAAGAACAAATAAATAATAATAACAATAACAATAACAGTATTAATAATAATAATAATAATAATAATTACATTTCGGACAATAATCGTGGCAGTGAAAAAAATACACAACAAGATTTGAATTCAATAGTGATGGGGAGTGCATTAAAGCGTGGTCCCGATGGAGAATTCTTAATGCCAGTAAAGAAAAAAAAGAAGAAAAAGGTATTTACCATATGTATATCATTTGATGTATATCATTAATGTTTATATTATCTTCATATAATATTTTATTTCTAGGCAAAAAATAAATTCAAAAATTTAGTAGTACAAAAAAAAATTTTGAAAGACGAAGATTCATTTGATAGTTCAGATTCACAATATGATACCGATAAAGAAATAGATGATGATGATAAAGGTGATGATGAAGAAAAGAAAGAAAAAGTTGATGATAATAATAAAAAAAAAGATGATGATGATAATGATTATAAAGTAGAAAAGGATTATGATGAAAAAGAAGAATCAAATGAGAAAAGAAAATCATTCAAAGAATGGGCAAGGGAACAAATGGGAATTAAGGAAAACAATCAATTTAGTAATCAAGAAATTAAAAAAATTCAAGATGGCATAGACATTACAGAAAATGCCGAAGAACGTAATGAGGAGGATGATAATAATAATAATAATAATAATGATAATAATAGTGATGATAATAATGATGATAATAATGATGATAATAACAAACCTGTAAAGAAAGCATTTTACATTCCTGTTCTAAGAAGTCAAGAAATTCAACAATCAAGAATGCAATTACCAATATATGGAGAAGAACAAACAATAATGGAAACTATAAATGAACATTCAGTTGTTATTATTTGTGGTGAAACTGGATCAGGAAAAACTACTCAAATACCGCAATTTCTTTATGAAGCGGGATACGGAAATCCCGAAAGTGGTATTTTATTTATTTATTTATTTATTTTATTATTTTATTAGATTCATTTATTTTTTTTTTATTATATTTATTTATATAATATTTATTTTATAAATTAAAAAAAGATAATCCTGGAATTATTGGTATAACGCAACCTCGTCGAGTTGCTGCGGTTAGTATGTCAAAACGTGTAGCACAAGAATTGTCACTTAGTGAGCAGGAAGTTTCTTATCAGGTAATAATCATCAATTACATTAATATTAATTCTTTATTTATTTATTTATTTATTTATTTATTTATTTATATCCTTTATTTATCATTTTTTAAATCATTGTTTCTAATCATTTTTAGATTCGATATGACGCCACGACGTCACCTAAAACGATAATAAAATTTATGACTGATGGAGTTTTACTCCGAGAACTTGCTAATGATTTTTTATTATCAAAATATTCGATTATAATAATTGATGAAGCTCATGAAAGAAATTTGAATACCGATATTTTAATTGGAGTTGTAAGTCGAGTAATAAGATTACGTAAAGAATTAAGTGAAGAAGATAAATTGAAAAAGATAATGGTATTTTTTTTTTTTTACACGTTTGAGTTTATTTATTTTTATTTTTATTTTATTTTTTATTTTTTTTTTTTATTTTTTATTTTTTTTTTATTTTTTATTTTTTTATTTTTATTTTTATTTAAATTTTTATTACTTATTTTTTTCATCTTCCTTCTCTTACAGCCATTAAAGATAATAATTATGTCGGCAACTTTGCGTGTTTCTGATTTCACAGAAAATAGAGCCTTATTTGATGTACCTCCTCCAGTAATTAATATTAACGCGCGACAATATCCCGTTAGTATTATTATTACTTATTATTATTATTATTATTGTTATTATTATTATTATTATTATTATTATTATTTTTATTATTATTACTTATATATTATATTAAATTTATTATATTACATTTATTTATTAGGTTGCAATTCATTTCAATAAACGAACTCCTCATATTGATTATATTACTGAAGCATATAAAAAGATTTGTAAAATTCATACTCGACTTCCTCACGGTGGTAAGTGAATTATTTTCAACATTATTTAAAAAGAAGAACGAATTTTTTAAAAAAATTAAAAAAATTTTAATTTAAATTGAAATTAGGAATTTTGGTTTTTTTAACTGGACAAAATGAAATATCAATTTTATGTAAAAAACTTTCTAAAAAATTTCCAAAGTTGAAAAATAATAATAATAATAAAGAAAAGGAAGAAGATAATTTAAATGAGGATAAAGATATGAATAATTATAATAAGGATAATTTCGAAGTAGATAAATTAGATATGGATGAAGATAATCAAGAAGAAAAGGAAGAAGAAGAAGAAGAAAAAGAAGAAAGTGATAATAATTTTGACACTGACTCTGAAGAAGAATTATCATCTGATAATGAATTCGATGAATTTAATGAATATAATAGAGAAATAGCTCCACTTCATGTTCTTCCACTTTATTCATTATTACCTACACGTGCTCAATTACGAGTATTTGAATCACCACCAGAAGGAACTCGTTTATGTGTAATAGCAACGAATGTCGCTGAAACATCAATTACTATACCTGGTATTAAATATGTAATAGATTGTGGAAAGATTAAAACTCGTAAATATGATATTAATACTGGAATTCAATTATTCGAAATTACCTGGACATCTAAGGCATCAGCTGATCAAAGGGCAGGTCGAGCTGGTAGAACTTCTTCAGGTCATTGTTATCGACTTTATTCATCTGCAATTTATAATGATCAATTTATTCAATTCAGTATACCGGAAATAAATCAAATACCTATTGAAGGAATTATTTTACAAATGAAATCCATGAATATTGATAATGTGATAAATTTCCCTTTCCCTACTCCACCTGATAGAAATCAATTAAGAAAAGCGGAAATGATGTTAAAATATTTAGGTGCATTAGATAATAATTATAATAAAGACAATTATAATAAAAGAAATTATAATAATAGTAAAGACAATAATAGTAAAGATGATAATAGTAATAATAATAATAATAATTATAATAATAATTCGAGAATTACGAATTTAGGACGTATTATGTCAACTTTTCCTATTATTCCTCGATACTCTAAAATGTTAATAATTGGTCAACAATATGATTGTTTACCTTATATAATTGCTATTGTATCAGCTATATCCGTGGGTGATCCTTTCATAAATGATCATCATTTAGATAATTTGGATGATAATAATAATAATAATAGTGATAATGATAATAGTGAGGAGGATATCGAGGATAATGAGAATGTGAAGGAATTAAGTGAAATTCAAAATAAAGAAATTTACCTTAAAGAACGTCGAAAATTAATTAAAAAGAAATTTTATGAAGTTCAAAAGGTAAATACAATTATTTGATGGTTTTTTTTTTTTTAAAAAAAAAATTTATTTATTATTTATATCCAATCAACTTTTTATTTTGATTAGAAACACGTAGGACTTGATCCAACTAGTGATTTAATGAAATTATTAAATGTTGTTGGCGCTTATGAGTACGCTGGATGTACTGAAAAATTTTGTAAAGAAAATTTTGTTAGGATAAAGGTATTTAAAAATATTCATCTAAATATATTCATCTACATATTCATCTACATTCTACATATCTTCACACATTTACATATTCGCACATCTAAATATTTGCACATCTACATATTCGCACATCTACATATTCCCACATCTACATATTCCCACATCTACATATTCCCACATCTAAATATTTGCACATCTATTATAGGCCATGCAAGAAATCCATAAATTGAGAGGACAATTAACAAATATAGTGAATATAAATTGTCCTGATATAAACATTTGCGTGGATCCTAAAATGAAACCACCTTCTAAAATACAACTTAAAGCATTACAACAAATAATTGTAGCTGGATTTATAGATCAAGTAGCTATACGTAAAGATTTAATAGATAATACGACAACATCATCTACTACTACTACAACTACTACTTCTTATACATCCAACAATAAAACAAGAAACGTGGCTTATCAAACGATGTGGTCAGGTGATGACGTTTTTATTCATCCTTCTTCGATAATTTCTCATTATGAGAAATTACCAAATTTTGTGGTTTATCAAGAATTATATAAGTCAAGTAATAGTAGTAGTAATAATTGTAAAGTTTGGATGAAAGGTATTTTTTTTATTTTTTTTATTTTTTTTTTTTGTTTAAAAAATTTTATATTTAATTTGATTTAATATTCTATATGCTAAAATGATAAATAATTTCAATGATTTCAATAATATATAGGTATTACTATTGCTGAACCAAGTTGGTTATCAAAATTTGGAAAATCATTATGCACATTTTCGAAACCAATTAAACTTCCAATAAAGTAAGAATTTTATTTTATTTTTATTTTTTTTATTTTTATTTTTTTTTATTTTTTTTTTTGATTAATTGGATTGATTTTTGATCTTTATTATTCATTTAGGAATAAAGAAAAATCTTTATTTGTAACTCCATTTTTTGGACCAAAAAATTGGGAATTACCTAGACAACCCATTGAAATTTTTCAAAAGTTATAAAATTCTCTTTTTATTATTATTATTATTATTATTATTATTAAACTCCTCGAAAAAATTGCAAAAAAAGTTTATTAAATGTAATAAATAATTTAATTATAGAAAACATTTTATTAGTCTTCAAATTATTGTATGCATCTAATTTAATTTTGGTGATCCAGAAATCGTGTCTAAAATAAAACAGGTTAACCATTCACACGATAATACGATTTTTTTTTTTAAAAAAATATTTTTATAAGATTTTATAATTTTTACACATTGAAAAAAAGTAAAAAAAAAAAACAAAAAAAAACAAAATATGGGTAAATCTACTCAAGAAGAACGTCGTCAACGAAAAAATACTCAAGACACTAACAATAAAGAAGAAATTCTTGATGACATTCCTGAAGACGAAAAAATAAGATTAATAAAGTCCACGGGAATACTTGAAAATTTTAAAGAATCTGGTGTACGTATAGTGCAAACTGAAGTAGGAAAAGAACCAAAAATACGAGAAATAAAAGAAGGGGAAGAAGAAGAAAGAGAAGGAGAAAAAAGGGAAAGTGAAGAAATAGAAGAAGAAGAAGGAGAAGATCCTTACGCACATGGAATTGTTTTTCAAGCGTTTTTATATACCATACCTCTTTGTGCTGTTTATTGTGTAATGGATATATTAGTTCATAGGCAATATAGCGAAACTGTTCTGCTTTTTCCTGTTGCTACTAGAATTTTTAGAGTTTCACCACGTAAGTTGATACATTATTTCATTATTATTAATATCAAAGAGACAATATATATATCTATATATATATATATAATTCAATCATTCTAATCATTCTCTCTCCCTTCATTTTTTAAATTCTAGTTTTGTGGGGTTTAGTATATTACACTAATAAAAATGTATCCAAGAATTGGATGCAACTTTTAATGTTTATGGGTTCCCTGATCTGTGGAAGTTATTTAATTTGGGTGGTTAATAATGCAAATTATATTGGTGTTATGAAGAGATGTCCTCCTTTAGCTACTCTTTGGATTTATTTTGTTATACAACTTAGATTATTACCTTCTTGTTTAAGTTTATTGGGATCTTATATTTATTTTAAATACATGGGATTTAAATTATAATTAATTTAATTTTAAAAATATTTTTTTTAGTTAACTTTATTTCTTGGTTTCTTGATTTCATAATTTAATTTATCTTTAATAAATTATTATTAAAAATAGACAATAATAATTATAATAATAAAAATTTAAGAAAATCTTTATTTCCTATAAGAAAAATTATTAATCATATACACCACACAATCTTGATATATAATTTTTTTCATGATTTACATATCGCTATATCTCATTAATATAGAAGTTTGTGTTTTATTTAGGCTGGGAATATAATACGTGCAAACTAAACTCAAAAAGGGTATAATTTTATTAGTGCAGATATTAGTAGTCTCGCGATCATCATCATAAAGGAGTTACATAAATTAAGGTAGAATTGGCTCATCTATTATTTCGCAATACTTGCCAGTGGCATCTTGAAACTTATCACTCATCCTAACGTTTTTAAAATTTATATCGTGCCAAAAGTGTACAACATTTAATCATTTCTGATCAGGCCAGTATTGATTCATTATTATGGAATCTTCCCTAGAAAAATGAACGATCCATACAGAACCACTGGCTAAAATTTCTATTATAGCTACAGGATTAGGAACATCGGCTTTTTTTATCGTTAAATCACAATAAAAATGGTGATAATCACCATCATCACAAGTTACTTCATATCCATATACCTTTGCAAGCCAATTTGTTAGTATTCTATACATCTCAGCATCATATGTACTCTCTCGAGGGACCTTCATATTCTGTTTAAAATCTACTAACAAATTATTTGAACTTTTATAAGAGCGAGAAGATCCAAGAGTGATTGTTTTTGGGTCAAATATACAAACAGTAGACTTTACCACCTCATTGACCCATTAGCTTGCAAAGGTATATCTTCATCTGGACAAAAGCAACTTATATTAGGTTTTTTCGAAGAAAAATCTTCTATGTGTGCATCTCTCTGCCTATTCCCTAACATAGATGATGATGATGGCAAAGGTGATGATGATGCCGATGATGATAATGATGATAATGCCGATGGTGATGATGATGATGCCAATGGTGATGATGATGATAGCGATGGTAATGATAATGGTGGTGGCGATGACTCCTTTTTCTTGTAGCTTTATTCCATAAGCCATTTGCTTTTTCAACATCTGCCCATAAAAAGTAAAAACCAGATGAGAAATATTTCCCAGTAAACACAGTTATACAAAAATAAAATTAGATGGAGGGCGCAGGAATATATCAACAGATAAATTTTTATTAAGTGGGCATCCATGTAAGAACCAGTGAGAAATTTTCGTTTTTTGAAATCGGATTTCTGCTATCTTGAAATTCTTATATCTTTTATATCTTTTCCCGGGCATGATGATATTCGATTTTATCTACTGGAGGACATGAAAGTATCTCTTCTTTTCTGGAAATGCTGGAGAATATTTTTGCTTCATTGGTGAATGCCCACTTAATGTAAAGATAGTTGAATCCTCCTTCAGAATCAACAGATCTTTACTAAAATTTATGTTGATAAATTCCATGATGTTTACTAGAAGTATCCAACAAACGCATCCATTTCAGTACTTGCATGGGTTCCTACTAGACGTATCCAATAGGTACAAGCACCTGGCGATAAGGCCCCATCAAATCTTATTAATTATATTTATCATGCCTACCTTTCTATTTTTTATAAGCTTTCGAGCAATATCCCGAATTTCTTGTGACATACACAAATCATTATTAATATTTTGCAGAGTACTAAAAAATAATAAATGTGTATTATCTTTCTCAGCAAACTTATAATTATCAATTATAAGAGAAACGTAATGGTCGAGAGACCAATTTTCATATGAGCAAATCTTAAAATATTTGCTGTATGGGATATTGTTACATGCTGATAACTCTCCTCGAACATTAAGGGTAGAAGTGGTAGTGGACATGATAAAAATGATAAAGATGTATTAGAAAAATATTCACAAATCACGGTAATAACAGTGTGAAAATACATATCGAACCTACCATATCCTACAAACTACGAAAACAAGGTAAATAGGAAGAGACGCGTTAAAGTAATATTGGAAATTGGAAAAAAGACACGCGTATTAATAAAATATATGTAACACATCTAATCCGAAATAGGTAGATCGCCTGATTTTAGATGTAACAAAAGTCATTGGACAAACGATCATACCAAATAAATTGGTGTTACGCTTTCCAAATTGATCGACCTTTTTGTGTCACTTGTGCCGTATCGAACACTTGTGGGAATACGAAATGCTCATGAAATATACTGCTGAACTAATATTCCAATCAGAACAATTTACAACATAGCAAAACTGAAAAATCAGGAAGTGTTGCGTACAAAAAACAAAGTAGATGCTTGAAAAAATCACATCAGACATTAATGTAATTGCATTTTTGTTTAACAATCTGAATATTTATTAAAAAATCAAAAGAGCAATACAAAAAGTAATATGAAGAGATTGGTGATGACTTTGAAATTATAAAAGTTATAAAATGAAGAAATTAGTGATTACTTTGAAATAGTTTCAGTATTTAATACTACAAATAAAAATAAAAATTAGGAGTTAACCATGTTTATTTGATAAAATTATTGCCACTGAAAATATACAGTACTTTTTTTTGAATTCTTTATCCATTTTAAAATTTGAACTTTTAATCTTCCATTTAAACATGAAGGATTTTTAGATATCCTTTATTTAAGCAAAAGTGTTTTGTAATTTTAGATGAAGATTCTAAATATACATAATATATGACTGCCATGAATTTTCTGTTCAACATGACATAGAATTTTTATGTTGAAAAAGGTAGAAAATATTTTAACTTTTGTCTTATCTTACTGATGTAAGGAGATAACACTAATATTATTGTTAATTTATTTTGATTAACTTTTATTTTATATTTTCATTGATTTCATTTATTATATTTATATATTTATTTTATTTTGAATTAAAAGATATTATTTTAAAAGTCAAATCAAAGATTGTAATGTTTCCAAGGCCGTTGAACAATATTTATGAAGAAATCATACCTTATCAACACATTCATTAGTTACAAAATTATCAAAAATTAATATGAGATCTCTCTCCTGAAGTATTTAAAACACATAAAGAAAAGTGACTTGAATAGATACAAAAACATCTTCATGATAATTGGAAAAAACTCTTTTTTGATGAGACAACTTTTTAATTATTCAGGAACACTATATAACAATAGTATAAGAGCATATTGTCATTTCATTATATGCTAAAAAACTGATCAAAAATTTTACTTGGAATGGGTTTTACTATTATAATAATATTTTCAACAAATTATGGATGGATCTTTTTATGTTGAGATTATTAGAAAACATAATTCAAAAATGTATCAAATACTTGATAATAACTGGTGATTTCAACAACATAACAATTTGAAATATACAGCCATATTACCAAGCAATTCATTCATCCTATAGAAATTTATGGAATATAGTTAAAAAAAAAAAAGTAAAAAAATGAATATCAAAAAAATCTTGTTGAATTGAATACTTTTATAATAAAGAGATAAGAAGATATCTTGCAAGTTGTTATAATAAATTCAATGAAAAAACTATGTGAGCTTTTTATATTAAATAAAAGAAAATATATTATTGTAATTATACATGTTCTCAAAATTGATTTTAGATTTTTGAGGTATTTTGACTTTTTGAGATTTATGCAGAATCTATTCTATATATGAAAGTAAAAAAAGTATCCAGTTATATGTATATTCAATCAAAAAATAAATCTGGGTAATTAAAAAATTTCAGGTTTTATGTAAAATATTTTTGTCTTCTATGAAAAACTATTTTGACTTTTTTTTTAAAATTGTAATTTTGAAATTCCAAAATAATTTTGTGTGCAAATATGATTGTAGTTTACAAATTAATATGATCACGTAAAAAAAAATTAGTTAATATAATTTCAAATACAAATAAATAAACATCACGTGATTAATGATTATTTTAATTAGTAATGTGATAAAATGACTAATCTCATGTATACCTGCCACCCAAATTCAAAATCCAAATGCCAAAATCCCAAATGCCAAAATCCCAAATCCCAAATCCCAAATTATGATTAGTATTTTTTGCCGAAATCCCAAATCCCAAATCCCAAATACTAGTAATTTGGAATTTTGGCGTCCCAAATCCCAAATGATTTGGGATTTGGGCAACACGTATAATCTCATGTGATCATTAATCATTTTTAATCAATAAAAATTTGTCACGTAATTTGTTAATCATATAACTTATACTTGATGAAAAATAAATATCAGTATTATTTTTTTATTAAATTTATATTCTTAAATAACTTGATATAAAATAATACAATATCAAATCATATCTATTAAACAATTATCTCTTCATGTCAAAAATATATTTATTATAATTATTATAGTAAAATAAAATCAATAAAATCATACATGTAATAAAATAACTTAAATAAATTTCTGAAATCATTTAAAAATATAACAAATATTATATTAAAAATAAAATATATATATATTTTTGTAAATATAAAGATTATAGAAAGTCTTTTTAATCAAATAAGTAAAGGTATTCACAAGGTAATCTAAAAGTAATTACTTTTATTCATGTTGTAATTATTTTTTAGTTATTTGATAATTGGTATATAAAAATATTAAAAAAAGATCAAAATATAATAAATAGATGTGCAGATAACTCATCTATTATTTGTATTTATTAAATTTGCAAATCATATGTAATACAAATACTTTTATATAAATTATATTGAAAGTATTTAGTATTTAATTTTTTTTAAAAATCAATTTACATTATATGATCACATTAATTTGAAAACTATAATAAGACTTTTGTTATACACTATATATAAAAAAATAATTTATATATACAGTGAACCCTTTATAAATGTACCCTCTATAAGGTGCACCCCTCTATAAATACACTCTATGCTTCAAGTTTTATACATAATAACACTTAGTAAAATTCTCTCTATAAATATATTTCCTTTATAAATATACCCTAATGTTGATTTTTCAAAAGGTACATTTATAGAAGGTTTACTGTATATGTAAGTTTCAGGAACAATTTCATATAATCATAATATAACAATCTTACATTATTAGCAGAGAGCTATCTGTACTCAGGACTAAAATTATTAATCAAAATTGTTTTTACCTTTATCAAAATATTTCAATTTTAGATATTTAAACATGTCAAAAGTTTAAATATGTGTCAAAAGTCTAAATGCATGTTGAAAAATATAAATAATTAAAAATTAATTTAGATGTAGAAGAAGAAATAGAAAAATTTAAATTTAACAATTTAATAAAGAAAAATTTAATGTAAAATTTGATAAAATAATAAAATAAATAAAATCATTCCTTTTGTTTGTTTTTTTTGATTTTAGCGAGGTCTTGTCTCAAATTTATTAATTAGAAAAAGAGAAAGTTTCTTATATTACATAATAATAACTTATCTTAATAATTATTGAAAGATAAGACTCAAACTAACTTGAAGAGACATGCCTACAACCTCTTACCTAATAATAACAGTTGTTACTAGCATGTTAAGGCCCTGTTGCAAAACCTATTTTGTAAATTCAAGACCAGTCAAATTGGTTCTTAATTTCTATATTAATATAATTGTTAAACAACTCTAAATGACTATACTTTATTTATAAATCATTCTTTTTGTTAAAATTTTTAAATTTTATATTAATTTATTAATTTATTTATATAATAAACTCTTGTTAAAATCTTGTATTTTCTTAATAAATATTTTTAACTTGTTTTAATTTCTTAAAATTATCTATTTAAATTTATTAATTAGTAATTACTTATATAAATTCTAAGTTTCTTATTAATAATTGTATAGTTACATTATTCTTGTTTCCTTAATTTTTGTTAAGTTTATATTTACATATTTTTTCTTATTTATAAGTTACTAGTTGTAACTTATCTTTTTGAAAAATGTTATTAATTCAAAAGGTCAACTAGTAACAATGTATCTAATAAGTACAAGTATTTGACAATAAGCTCTATCAAATCTTATTAATTATATTTATTATATTATCAGAAATTTTTATATAATGTTTTATAATATTATACGAACGGAACGTTTGAATAATGTTCTAGAACAATACCAATATACTAGAATGTAATATTCTAGAACACTATACGAATGCTCTATTTGTATTACGTTTTATGAATGGCATTTATATAATATTATATATCACCATTTTATAACATATAATGAATATTTCATATTAATAATATTGTATATCAATATTCATATATCGTTAGTTATAATAATATGAATTTTTTATAACATTCTAGAATGACATTTAATAATGTTAAAAGTATAAAATGTTTATTTTACATTGTAAAATGGTCATTTAATAAATGTTTATTATATTTTTTTTATCATTTTTTATAGCATTTAATATTAAATAATATTTTTTATATTTAATTTATTTATGTTTTTTCAAAATATTATACTTTTTTTAAATTTAAAATTTGATTTAATCTTTATTATTTTCTTTATTAACTATTATTTTACATTTATTATAATTATTACTATATTATTTTATTACATGTATAATAAAAAAATATATTAATAAAAATTAATTCATTATAAATTTTTAAAATTTTAAAGTAATAAACATATTTAATTTTCATTCTATATCACTTTCATCAATATTGTCTTTGTCTATTTGAAACAAATTTATATTATTTTCTTCATTAGAGTCAATATAAATTATACCAATGTCTTTGTTGTCTTCATTCATATTGTCATTATTATCCTTTTCTAATTCTGAAGATGATTCTGAAGATGATTCTGATTTTAATAATGAAATATAAATATTCCATTTTTAATTTTATCCTAAATTATAATGATATTTAACATTTTTTTTTT